TTTTTGGTTTATGGACTATCTATTTAGGTAGTCCGAGAACCAAGAAACTGGTACGGGTACCAATTTTATCCGTGCCGTACCAAAAATTGAGCGTAGTGTAAACGGGGCTTCACAGTCGAACATATTCTTCCGCTTCAGTTGATAACACAAACTTAGGATTGATAATTCTACGCGGTATCATACCTCATTCAATAACTCTTCTATTTACTCTCTAATAACTCTCTAATAACTCTTCTCATTCAATAAATCGGCAGTTTGTCCGAGGTGTACTAAAATTATTGATCTCTTCAGAATGAAAATTTTGAAAAGAATCAACTTTGGTTAGTTTTTAATCACTCAAAAACGTCTTGTTTCCTCGCCACTGTTTTATGGTCTGACGTATGCATGTACAGTGTGTACGTGTTTTAAAACCACAAATATATACGACAATCATAATTGATAAAAAGATTCCTTATTGATGTGTGTGCAGATGTTTTGAAACAATGCTTACCTAGAATATACTTTTCTAAAAAAGGAAAACACAATTCAAGGGACTTCGATTTTATTGTCGATTTCATGTTACTTTTCAAGGCGCGGACCCAAGTTTGTTTTCAATTTGCCAATTACGTTTCCAAATTCGGAAATTGGGCGGGAACTTCGCAACGAAGTTCGCAAGTTCATTTCAAAGTTCGAACTTCGATTGTAAACAAATGTAAAAATTTCATTTATAAATTTATTTCAAAAGGCATTTTTCGTCTTGAGAGACCAGTGGACCAATATTTTACTGCAGTAATATGTGCATAGGGCCTTATACAGTAATTTCAACTCCAACTATGAACATTTGTTTACAATCAAAGTTCGAACTTTGAAATGAACTTGCGAACTTCGTTGTGAATTTCACACCCAACTTCCGAACTTGGCAACGTAATTGCCAAGCTAAGTTCGCAACGAGTTTGGGAACAGCATGTTGAAAAGTTATCTGAAATCGACAATAAGGAATGACATTTAAGGAATGATCGAAATGTATGATTATTTACCGGGGAATATATAAGCGAAAATAAAAGAGCCTTTGATAGGAAATTTTGTTGGCATCTCATTCGATTGAATTATATAGTTGAAGGGTATTGTAGATAGAAATTATCGAGTGGAAATTTATATACATTTATTAGATCCAACCAGGAACAGCTGCGAAAAATGCAACTTTAAATCCCTGGCAGCAATAGACCTTTCCCCTTATAACCAAAATTTTGATCTAGGCAAGTCTAGACAAATATTTCATCACAGCTTGAAAGAGCATCACAAAATTAGTAATATTCCAAAGTTCCGTTGCGAAATGTTGTAAAATGAGGAAAATAGAGCCTTGCGAAGTTTGCAATTTTCAGTCCTTTTGCATTACAAATGGAAATTGCAGCCCCAACACCCGAATCGGGTGTCAATTTCCCGTTTGTAATACAAAATGACTGAAAAACGGCAAACTTCGCAAGGCTATATTATCCGCATTTTACAAGATTTTGCAACAAAACTTTGGAATATTACTAATTTTGTGATGCTCTTTCAAGCTGTGATGAAATTTTTGTCTAGATCGAAATTTTAGTTATAACGGGAAAGGTCCATTGAACGCGTTTTCTCATGACATGTTTCCGCTTATAGTTGCAATCGACGGTATGATATATCTCACTCGAAGACATTTTCTCCTTATCATATTACCGAGTAAACAATAACACAATGAATAATAATTTTCGTGGTCACCGCTGATCATTCATGTCGCTGTGTTACAAAAATCCTGTTTCACTTTTGAATTTATGTTGTTGTCATTGAAAAGGAATCATGTCTGGTAGTCTATACTCTAATCTAATCGTATCTGTCGTTGTTTTAGGGCAATTGTTTTCTATTTCTCGTGGCAAATCAGAAGCTTTGAAAGATTCGTCCGAAATCTTCCTGAAATATCACACAGCTGTGGTCACAGTTATTACGAATACAAATATTACAGGGACTGGCTTTGCTATCGAAAATGATCAAAACCATTCGGTCACAAAAACGGGAAAGAAGAGCAGATTCGTAGTTACTGCTTCTCATGTTGTCAAAGGCGCTTACGGGGTCAACTTGTATATATACCACGACGAAAAGGACTCGGAAGGCAACTGGAAGAAGGATATTTGCTCAGCAACTATTTATGGCTTGGACGTTGTAAGAGACGTTGCTCTGCTTGAGATTGCGTGTGATAAATGCAATTGCACGCGTTTAGGAGCTCTACAAACCCGCCTTTCAACTGTAAATGGAGAAAATATATTTGTAATCGGTAATTCTGGCAAGACGCGAACTCATTCGTTTATACGTGGAAGCTTGTCTTCAAAAAATATTGCTTTCTCTCCGGCGTCCCTGAACTATAAACTGGACAACGATATCGCAGCAACGACATTCGTTTCGAGAGTTCACGGACTAACGGGAAGTTTAAATTTTGGCGATGCGGGCAGTGCCGTGATGGCAAAATCAGGCGATGTTATTGGAATGATCTTGGGCAGAAGTGGAGACCACAATTTTTGTGTTACGATGGAAGAGATCTCCAAAGCATGCGAGCAAATATTAGACACAATAAGTCCCAGCTTTGTTGCTTGCACTGCTCATGAATCAGCTCTTCTTGGTAGAAAGTATTGGGGGGACAGGTCTGGCAAGAGTCTTAAGGAAATGAATGCCCTTGCAACTGCAATGGATGCTCAGTATTTTGCGGTTGCACACAACGGTCTGGAAGCTCATGCTTTTACATTCGATTTTCTGTGGTGGGAAATATTACCCGAAAACTATTTTAAGGAACATTCATCACAGTGTCGCTGCGAAACGAATTCCTTCACGGACAGCGAATTTCTTGGGCGTAGAAAAAATGGAAAGGACATGTGTGGGTGTGCTGGAAGTGCATGCATAGGATTGGAATACTATGAAAAGAGATTTGGCGAGGATAACGATCGTCGCTGGGCTGTATACAAACGAATGAGTAGAAACCCAGACAAAAGTAGACACTACGTACCAAGTGAAGAATCTCTAGCACTGATGCAAAATATAGCCGGTGAAATTGATTACTGGAAGAAAAAAGTAGTTAATTTGAGAAGAGAAAATGAGCAGCTCGTATCATTGATGATAAATATAAAGCAAAAAGCAGATACACTGACAACAGAACTGACAGAAAAGGACGCACTCATATTACGCATATACCAAAGGATTGCTGTCGCCGTATGTGTTGCTTCAAGCTTTTTTATTTATTTTTACAAACGCTGGAAGAATAAGTTAAGGGAAACATATGCAGAGCTTGATAGATTGAAAGAGCGACTGTCTCAACAAGAAGAGCTTCGAAATCCTATAGCTGCACCTACACAGGAATCAAATGAACTTAACGAAGGTGACGATGGTCAGGATGGGCAGCTGTGCTAATTCCAATTCATTGAATTTGTCACCATACAAAAAAAACTTACATTGACGAAGATAACTATGTGACAGGAGAATCGAACAGGAGAATCGAACAGGACATTCGTCCCATTCATTCGACACTTGTCCCACAGGACATTCGTCATACGTAGTTAAAATGTTACGAATATTGTTTTGATTGATAAACCTCGCTAAATCTTTGCAACAAAAAGCAGAACTGATAAACAGTACCATTTTCATGTTTGCCGACACGCTGGCTGTAAAAATGCCATATGCGCATATATAATTCGGCATTCAAATACGCACAGTTTGAGATTACTTCAGAATTGTAAGACGCGTGGCTGTGTTTATTCATTTTTAGCTTGCTACTCAATATTAAATATTTTAAATTGAGCAATTTGTTTTAAATTGAGCACTTTATTTTAAATTGAGCACTTTAATTGTTTCGCCTACGCCGATTTGTTTCACCGATTTGTGTCACTGCGAGACAAATTGGGCAGCCTGATATACATTAGCCTGTAGATATACATACACACGCTGATTTTGTTTCGTCAATTTGTGTCGCAACAAACCGGTCCGCATCGCGCTGATTTAAGAGCATGGGGGCGAGTAGGCAAACAACAAAAATTCAAAATGGCGAAACGCAAGTTGTTGTTGTGTGCAGCATTTTTAATGCTAGAATTAGAAAATGAATTTGACGAAGTAAAAGAGAGACGTCGACACGTCTGGACAAGAGAATTCATGAGAAATTGAATGCTACGTCATAGCAAGCACGAGAAAAGGGCTTGGAAACGAAACGTTGCAAACACAAATCGGCAAATGACATGCTACACTCAACTTGCAATCTTCTTGCAGAATTGCATTGCAAGTATTTGATCCCACAACAAAAACTTGCAATTCTTCGACACGACACAAATCGCCGTTGCGTGACAATGTTACACACACCGATTTGTTTCGCAACGCGATTGCAAGACAAATCAGCGAAACAAATCGGCGCGTGTAACAGCAGCTTTAGACATTGATAACAATTGGGACTTTAAAAATGCTTTAATAAAACTAGAAATCATACATCAAGAAATCATTCTTCGAACAATTTCGGAACACAAAACGGAAGCTAAATAAGCTATAGCTAGTTAATGTAAAATAGTTAGAAATTTAAAATTTTTAGATTATACTATTTTGTAAATAATTACGTAAATGAGCTGTAAAGCTGCGAGATAATCTGAATAAAACTTATTGCTATTACTACAATCGAGCGAAAAAAGCCTGGCAATAAACTGTCTTGGGAAATGTGTATTAACTTGCCCATAGCATAACTGAGGTTAGGGCCTGTTTATATGGAAGTCGGGCTGGCCCGCTTAGCGAGACAGCCCGGTAAGCGAGATCTCGCTGTGTAGCCACTGGGGCTAGTCCGGTTGCCAGGATGAAAGTTCAAAGGTACCGCCGCAAGCTATTTTTAACAACTGTCAAAACAATATCAATGTAACAAAATTGTCCCGGCAAGCGGGATGAAATTTTCTCATGTAAACACAAGAGAAATTCATCCCGTTTACCGGGCTGTCTCTCTAAGCGGGCCAGCCCGGCTTCCATATAAACAGGCCCTTAGATTGACTTTCACTACCGCTATACCGCTCGCTGGCTTAATACGCATTTAATTGGTTAAGTCAAAATGTGAACCTCTCTGATTTTAAATATAATACAACACTCCTACTAAATATAATACAACACTCCTACTCTTAATAGTACATAAGTCATTATAAGGACTGAGCTGAGAGTCCGGCGACTACAACAATTCATGGCTCATCACGTTTCGATTTTGCATTTTTCATGCAAACACTTTGCAGGCGCATTTTCAAATAATTTTTGCGATTCCAGCCAGGCACAATAAAAGTTATCGACCCCTAAAATATACTAGGTTCGCGGGCAATCGTGGCGTCCCTATGACAGTCATTTTGGGTACGGCACGCGGACCCACGTTTTTTTGGTCCGCCTGTTGCGTTTACACGACGAAATTTAGAGTCAGCCCGTTTGAAAGATATTTATGCATGAGAATTGTGCACGAGGCATGACATCCAAACAGTGGCTGCTGACCATTCATCTCGCTGTGTCACAAAAAAATCCTGTTTCACTTTTGATTTTGTTGTTGTCATTGAAAAGGTGCTGAATCATCATGTCTTGTCGTCTCTTCTCTACTCTGATCGTATCTGTCGTTGTTTTAGGGCAGTTGTTTTCTATTTCGTATGGCAAATCACAGGATATAAAAGATCCATCCGAAATATTCCACAAATATCACACAGCTGTCGTCACAGTTGTTACGGATAAAGGGAGGGGGACAGGGTTTTCTATCGATCCTCAAGTATACCTGATCACAGGAACGGAAACGAAAATCAGGTTCGTAATTACTGCTTTCCATGTTGTCAAAGGCGCTGCCAGGGTTGGCTTGTATTTATACCAGGACGAGAAGGACGACGAAGGCAACTGGAAAAAGGATATTTGCCCGGCTGAAATTTGGGGCTTCGACATTGTAAGAGACGTTGCTCTCCTTTATATAGCGTGTGACACTTGCAATTGCACGCGTTTAGAAGCCCTACAGACCCGCCTTTCAACTGTAAATGCTGGAGAAACTATACTTGTAATCGGTGATTCCGCCAAGAGGAGACCTCATTCGGTTGTAGATGGAAGGTTGTCGGACACAAATTTTACTGTTTCTTTAACGTCTCTGAATTATAAACAACTAGATGAAGATATCGCAGCTACACCATTGGTTTCGAGGGTTCATGGACTAATTGGTAGTGTTTATCTGGGAGATTCGGGCAGCGCCGTGATGGATAGATCTGGCAATGTTATTGGAATGATCTTGGGTAAACGTGGAGACCTCATCTATTGTGTTACGATAGACGAGATTTCCAAAGCACGCGGGCAAATATTGGACACAAAAAGTCCCAGTTTTGTTGCTTGCACTGCTCATGAATCAGCTCTTCTTGGGAGAACGTACTGGGGGAACAGCTCTGGTAAGAGCATTAACGAAATGAATGCACTTGCAACTGCAATGAATGCTCAGTACTTTGCGATTGCACACGATGGTTTGGAAGCTCATGCTTTTACATTCCACGTTCTGTGGTGGGAAATACTCCCGGAAAACGATTATATAAAGGAAGATGCATCACAGTGTCGCTGCGAAATGACTTCCTTCACAGACGGCAAACAACGTCTTGAGCGTACAAAAGACGGCAAGGTCATGTGTGGGTGTTCTGAAAATGCATGCAGAATAAATTCATATTACCAGAGGAGATTCGGGGAAGACAATGATCGTCGTTGGGCCGTGTACAAAAGAGTGAGCAGGAGTCTAGACAACAGATACTACGTACCAAGTAAAGAATCTAGAGCATCGATGGAAGATATAGGCGGTGAAATCGATTATTGGAAGCAAAAAGTAGAGATTTTGAGCATAGAAAAGGAGAACCTTGTATCAGATGGCCATATGTGTCGCTTCGAGCTTAGTTATTTGTCTGTACAAACGCTGGAAGAACGCTGAACGCATGTTAAAGAAAGCAAAAACAGAACGAGATAGATTGGAAGAGCAATTGTTTCAACAGGAAGTGCTTCAAAATTCGGAGCCTACAAACATACCTACACAGGAATAAATTAACTGTTAAGATGCACTGTAATTTGCTAATGCTTTCTCGTGTTTACAATTAAAATCGTTACGAATCGTATTTCTTAAAATTTGTATATCTCGCAAAATCTAGTAAATGTATAGAATTTACACTTGAAATTTTCATCTACAAAACCCTTTCACAATTAGAGTTCTATCGAATAAGATGCCCAAAATCCCATTATTTTCAAGTTTCCTATGATACATATCTGGACACACTTGCTGTCTTAATACCAAGAAATATCATAGACACGTATAATACAGTATTCAAATACGCACAGTTTGATATCAATGAAGAATTTTCCTCTAGAATACACCCGCTTGTGTTAATTATGATAGTTGCTTGCAATTAGCATACTTCAGGTACGTTGTTAAATATTAGATATTTTTAAACTATTTTACTTTTGGGCCCCTCTGGTTTGAGCACTTTGTTAAGTTTGCTTTGCTTATAGACATTGATAACAGGAGGGGGAGGGGTGTGTGTGTGTGTGTGGGGGGGGGGGGGGGGGGGGATGCTAGACACCACACCAGGAAATACGAGTCATGAAGAACAGACTTACCAGTAGTACAAGAAAAGTTTGCTGAAAATCCTTTCTTTCGATGCAGAGAACTGTAAACAAGACACGCAACGTTTTATTAAGCACTGCATGGGTATATAATTATCTGCGTTTTGAGTGGCTGCCGTCTTACAAACAATTTTTGAAATCGCGTATGTTAACGTGTATATCAGGGTCCGGTTGTTCAAAAGCTGATCAGCTTAACCCTAGGTTAACCTAAAATTCAAAGCAAACTTCCTAACAGGCTGTTACAAATTTGGTTCTTCAGAAATCTTGTCTGGATCGATAGGAGTTTACTTCTCTAATGTTTTGAAATAATCAGAAGTGCAGAAATACATAAACTAAAACAGCAGGTTAAATTTTAACCCAGGGTTAGCGCTAACCCTCCTTTGAACAACTGGCCCCTGAGCTACAAAGATAGATTAAGAATTTTCAACGCATTTCTTGGAGAAAATAGATAAGCGAACTTCAAATCAAGTATCATACATAAATTTATTATTTATTGAAAATAATTCAAGAGTTTTGATTGGCTAAGAGCTGTCGGTGAAATCGTCATATTCGCTCGGTAGCTGCCCAAATTTGGAGTTATGACATCACCGTGTAATATTGAAAACAAATATACCACGTTTGACGTAATTTCGTGGTATATTGAAAAACAATGTAACATGCTATGACGTCACGCTACAGTTATGCGACTTATGCCAAAAGCGGGAAAATACAAATGGCTTCCTCGCCGACCTTTTTAAATAATAATAAAAATTATTTAATTCGGTTCTCGCAGGATATGAGGAATTATTAAGGTTTCAGTTTGTGTTATCAGCCTCAAGGCCTGATTCCACGGGCGCTTTTTCTCGGCGAAATGCGAAATATTTCGCCTGTTTCTTTTGAATCGTGAGCAATCAAGTAGAAATAATTTATTCGAATAGTCGCAATTCAAAAGAAACAGGCGAAATATTTCGCATTTCGCCGAGAAAAAGCGCCCGTGGAATCAGGCCTGCAGGCAGATAACACAAACCTCCAATAATAACGGCTTATTGACCGAGCGTGAGGTCTGTACTGTGAAATATCAGACCGGGGTTTTTTAGTATGGACCGAGCGACGAAGGAGCGAGGTCCATGCAAAAAACAGAGTTTTGATATTTCACAGTACAGACCGAACAAGCAAGGTCAATAATCGGTTTATTATGTGGCTGAACTGAGTCTGTGAGCATATACTTTTCGCGCGAATTAAATCGGCTATCGTCAGTTTCACTGGGTAAAGCTACGTTTACACGCTGCGATTTGTCGGGCCGGTTTTGGGAAATAATCGTTGCCACTTCTTCGACATTTAGCGATTTAAACGTTCAATTGAAGCTGTCCGCTCTCTCGTCTGTTTATATTATAGTTTTCTGCGTGCGAAAAGTTTTCAGTGTGCTTTGTTACAGATTTTTCTCCCGATTTTGTGAATCGCAAGGTGCTGACGCGAGTACTCACGACAGGTTATTTACATACAGCGAGCAAAATCGGCCCGACAAATCGCAACGTGTAAACGTACCTTAACAATATACGGTAGGCATGCACGCTCAATCAAAAACCATTAAGCGCCAGCGCTCTCCCCTTGACGAGTAAAATCGCCTGGCGTTAGACAGAGTAAAATACTAAAGTAGGGTGCATCAGGGTGCAATGCGACTCAATGGGTTAACTAGACACATGAGCAGATAGGCCAGTTAACCCATTAAGCGCCAGCGCTCTCCCCCTTGACGAGTAAAATCGCCTGGCGTTAGACAGAGTGAAATACTAAAGTAGGGTGCATCAGGGTGCAATGCGACTCAATGGGTTAATGACACACAATTGGAAAATTAAAAGCAAAATTTTTTCTGTTTGCAAAGCAAAAATTTCCCGCCAGATAAACGACATCCGGGACACCGGTCCAGATACGTAAAATACGGACCACGGTCCGGATATGGGTTTTTGCGGACCGCTTGTCAACCAATCAGAATAGAGAATTTTGAAAAGCCATATAATAATTCCTCATATCTTACTCGACCTCATTCAATAATTGTTTAATATACAAACCTTTTAAAAGGGTTAAGTAAACAATAAACGTAATTGACGGTTGATATATCACCAATTTTCAACCAGTTATCCTAAAAGCGAAAAAAAATCAAAACGCTAGAACTACCCAGTTTTTTTATAAACGTATAAATAACCGGAGGGCACTCGCTGACTGTATCCTTTTGTAACGGGTCCCTTATTTGAAGGATTTACATAATTTTATTCTATCTGATGACATTAAAAAGTCAAAAATTTGCAATTATAATCTCTATAAATCTTCTTGTTTAATTGAAGCAAGCTTTAAAAAATGAATCAACGCTAGTCCTACCTCCTCTCTTGGCCTACGAAATTTCTTCCACGTGTAAAAAATGGCCATAAAAGCAAATCTGATGAACAGAAATGCGTTGAAAATAATGACAGGCATTTCCAAAAGAAGCTTCAAATACTTGAACTCTTCCACCTATAGAAAATAACGTAATCAGGGTACAGGGCAGAAAGAGTAAAATTTAAGGACTTTTCAAAGATTTTCAAGGCCATACATCAGGAAATTCAAGGACTAAAGGGCCGAAACAGTACGAAGTGACGTTAAACTGTTCAAATTGCAATTTCTGAAAACTAAAACAGGAACAATTAGCCTTTTCTCACCAAGGCCAAAAACCGTCATTTTTGAGAGTACTTTCTACCCTCGTGAAAGATTCTAGACAATTCAAACAACGTGAAAAGCGAATTTTAAAAGTTGTAACTGTAAATTTACCATTAATATACAAACAACCACAATACTGAAAAGTCGTATTTCGTGGTGTGGAGACTCTCAAACATGGAAGAAGCAGTACCCCAAAAATGGTGGGAAAATCGGCCGTGGGAAAGGCTAATTCAAGGATTTTCAAGGGACTTTCTTATACCGAATTCAAGGACTGTCAAAGCCTTTAATTTTAGTTTTCAAGCAGCTTTCTGCAGGTCGAGGGCAGGGAAAACGATGATATTTGAAGACTGGAGTTTAAATTTCACATTAAATAACTCATTAATATACCATCATTCTTATGAAACTTACCGAGTACGTTAGATATTCCCAACAGGCGAATGTGTTCATTGTTATAACTATGTATCTATAATGATAAAGAAAAACAGATATTATATAATAACGTTAAGAATTCAAGCGCTTTCATTGGTCGAGAGCCATGACCCGTCACACAAAACTTTGTTCTGTGCAGCCAATCACAACACAGCACGTGACTTAAGGTAGCCAATAGTATTCCCTTATTTGTATAGATCCCCTCGGCGGCTCGTGGGCCACTTTTTTGTCCTTCCCACATTATTATGTCATACTGTGTATCTATAATTAAACAGACAACGGCAAAATCTTATCTATTTCAGAGAAAGACATAGTGAGTGACAGATTAACCAAATGATCCAAATATGGAGCACCACCAAGGAAACCTAAATTTTATTGCTTGCAAGAACAAACTTTGCAGAGGTTACTATACCTGAATGCAACATAACAAAAGCCAAGTATTGATGCCACCAGATGATGTTCCGACATTAAACATGCCAAGTATGGATAGTAGACGAGAAAGTACGTCAACACAGTCAGAATGAGATTGAGAAGAGCTGGAAATGAATGATACATTAATTTAGGGTTGCATGCAGTGCTTTCTTATCACTATGTCTGAGTATGCCAAGGACCTGTTTACAAAATCTAAGTTTGCCAGGAGAGGATGGAAGGCAGGACTGGAAAAAAAGAATTTTCTTTCTGGGAGCACAACCTGGAGACAAAAATTTCCTGTAGACCAACGGAGTATTTTTGTGCTAAATCTGCATGTGTATAAACATATAGTGTTCTAGTTGACCATGGTTTTAAATTCAAGGAATAATGTCTGTGAACCATATGTTGTTGCGTCCATAGTGGTACATGGGTGTTACGGTTGCCTTCAAATTTTCAATAGCAAATATTATTCAAACAAATTTCCTGCAGCTGTTTAACATTTCCTGCGAGCAGTGCTCGCGTGCTCGCCTATTTTTTCCACCTCTGATGGGCGGGATGATTTTGATGTATTGACTAAAGCTAAAACGAAAGTATAAACACCGGTTAAGAAAATTCAAATGTTGTTGAGAAGATCCCGTAGTTCAGGAAGATTACTATTGCTGCGTGAACAACCTTTCGTTTACAATTCTATCATAATTTATCACCAGAAAAATAATGTAGTTTTTCTGAATCATGAACTGTGACTTATTTCAATACATCGAAGTCCAAGGAAAACTTGATGGTGTATACCGCGTGTACAAGAAATAATTCTATCATTCTGGCGGCCTTGACGTGAGATACTGTCGGACATCGGACAATGTCCGACTAAATTTGGCAAATGTCCGAGCAAAAGTAATTTTGATCGGACATTGGTCCGATCACGAAAAAAAATTGTCACATTATACATTTTTTTGCTGTGACAAAATCCGATTGCAAATTCACTCAATTTGCATTTGCAATAAAATTTACGAGG